CTGTAACCAGTTTGTAGTAGAAACTTGGTTCTTATACTAGTATAGACTTTGTATAAAACTCTTCATTCTTTCTTGTGCGTTTCTGGTCTTTGCTTCATTCTTTGTGTAAATTAATTATTCCCTACTAAATGATAAAGGGTTTCCTTTTCTTGAAATGAAAATTCTCTTCTTTCTCCTACAGTACTTTTGACAGTTCCAGGTGAAAATTATTGTGTCAAGCCAGGTGGAATTAATAATTGGAATTCCAACAAAGTTCTAAACGGTTGTTATACACCTGTAAGGAGCAAAGTTTGTAAAACCACGGAAAGCGTATAAATTCAAGCAAAGTGGTGCTGGCACAATTCAAATGGTTTGAATTCTAGAGCGGGTTGTTACTCTGGCTTTCTTAGTAATTTGAAACTCTCTCCATACTATGCCTGTAGATTGGTTTTGAGGATAAGTCACACATCAGAGTCATGAACAGACACATTAGGTTTCATTACATTTTATAATCTTCTGAGGGGGTTTCATGAAAAATAAGGCACCAGGGAGAGGTGAATACCTGAAGTTAATTGGCCCAGAATTTCCCCCTCTTGACTTTTTCCTCCACAACCAAACTGCCCACCTAGTCTGACTTCTGTAACTTGATTAACTCCTCCAATCTTTAAAATGATGTCCGTCTGTTTTTCTCATGTGCTTTCATTTGCTGTTCATTTGTTTCAAAACCTCTCCTTCTTTCCATATGCAATATTGGTTTTGTCAGTTATTCAAAACTCAGAATGAGCAATGGCATGTCTTAGGTTATGTAGAGCTTTGACCTGTTTGAGTACTTTTTATATCTTACGTGGGATTAATACCTGTCTATTCTTTTCTACATGCAATTTATAGACTAGTCTTTTGTCTGCCTAAATTTGTAGACCTTCTTTATATGCACTTAGTGGGCTCCTCTTCCGTATAGTTTTTTGGTATATTAATTTACAGCAACAAGGACTAACATTTATCTTGGTTTAAAAAACCTTGACTTACAATATTTGGATGGATTTTTAAATTTTAAATAATTATTGCTTTCCTTTAAAAATGAGTTACTTGAAATAAAATTCAGATGTTGGTGATGTATGTTAAGACCAAAATTTGTCAATAAAACTTAGACAAGAAAGGTGTCATACTTTGTTCATCATGTGCACGTTGCTTAGTCCAGTGCAAGCTACGATAAGTTAATTCCTGACAAGAGCCACCGTAATAAATAATTGGATTTGTTGATTGTGAAGCAAGACTAAATTACTCAATCCTCTGCTCTAAATAGCTGACCACAGTTTTTACAAACAGCGTCTGTCAGTTTAAAGCTAACCAATGTAACTGCTAGAACATAATTATTGTTCTTTGACCCAAGTGTAGGTCATTTTTTTTCAGACCTTGTTGTATAGGTGGTTTGGGTAACACTGGCTCCCTGTAAAAAAAAAATCCTTCCTTTTCTGCTCCACGCAGAATTAATTTACAGTTCCTCTTCTAATCATGGGAGATACCTGATTGGAAACAGCATTCATGGATGCTACAGCCAAATGGTCACCTTGTATACCAGAGACCCCATGGAAGGATTGCAGGCTATAACCATGTAGGAGGACCACAGGGCGATCCAGCTTCATGGCGCACCAGAGTGGGTTCTGGGCTGAATCTTGGCCTCCCTGGTAAATATCATTTCAAAATCAGACCCCCTCACGTGGAGCCAAACTACTGTATGCACTAGTCGTTTCTGGGCAGATACGCTTTGGGTGATGTGCACATATCAAATAGTGGAAGCGATAATGGCGGAGAAGGTGTCCTAGAAGTGTATTTATAAGACAGTTCTCGTTGGTTTTATTGGATTTGATCATGAAATGATAAATGCGATGGATCATGATGAATGATTTCAGAGAGTTCTTATTGCAGTGTCTTTTAGTGAGCTGGTTTTTGCCATTTGGGGAAAAAAAAAGTTTTAAGTCGAATTTCTCTTTTAAAAAGCCTGCTGTACGCCTGCTTTCTTTTAAAAGGCAGGAGTCCATGAATAGCTTTATCATATATAAGGCAAGGGTCTTGTGGCTACTACTTACCACATTCATTCTGATTATGTAAAACTGAAAATCACTGCATTGAAATGAAGTTTCAATGTTTTTATTCAAAGCAGCTTCTCACAATGTATAAATACTGCATATTAACACACATGAAAAATACAACTTCTAAGGCACCCAGAAATGTGTCCATACACTAGTTACAGGACCATCGACAAATAAATTGTGTACAATTTGATCTAGACAGTCAATATTTGATATATCAGAAGATACAAGTCCCTCAGTACTGTACCAGTTTCAGAAAATATTTACAACACTGTGATATAGGGGTGCCTGTACCCTTATAATATTATAATATGTACTCATCATTACAAATATTAGAAACTGTTTTAGTCTGTTCCATGGCGTTCCGACAAAATAACTTAAGGGCCTAATTTGCAAAGTTCTACAATTAATTATTTGTGCAAGTTCTGAAAATAAATTTACATTGACATAATTTGTGAATTTTTGGTTCTTTGCTTCATCTCAGAGGTTTGGTAATAAGCCTTACCAATAGACATGCCATCCTAGCTGAACGTCACTCCTTTCCCAATAGGGCAGTGGATACATCTTTTCCCCTTACACTTGACATGGATGAGAATGCAGTGTCTGTAGCAGAAAGAGACTATTTGATCTTCAGTACAAATGTCAAACTAGTTCACTGGCGAAGGAACTAATGCTTTGTTAGAATAATGCAATTCTTTGGTCCTTTGTTTTTATGGAAGGCATAATATTTTTATTCACTAAAAATTGAAATCCCGTCTGTGAGTAAGCAAGCTAGTGAATGACTTTCAGTGTAGTATTTAAAGTAGCAGTAAAGAGATTTAATATGGCTTAAAACATACGGTTAATTGGGCAGACACAGATAACACATCTAGGATACCGAGTACCCAAATGTACTATGATTAAGATTGTCTATAAGTCTCTTATGTAAACTTCTTTAGTGTCTCCTAAAGAGCGCTGGCTTTAGCCAGATTTGACTTTTATAGACCCAGCCACACAAAGCCTGAGATTAAACTACCGTGGTTGGGAACACAAATGCACAGTTTATATATAAACAAAGCCCATGCTGACAAGCCTACCTATGTTGTTCAAAAGAAACAACCCGTATTATCCTTTTCACAAGAAAAACTTAAGGCCCTGTACTCTGATTTGCTAACTTTCTTACAGCAATTATTTGGGGAAGTCCTTAGTACTACATAAGCAATTATGTAGCTTTAAAGATTTCTTGTACCTAATGGTAAGGCTTATTCACAAATGCAATACATTTATAAATTACATTTAAAACTGTAAAGGCTGGCAAAATAATAAAAAAAATAACAAAATAAAACAAACCCCAACCAAAATTGTCTGTTTATCCCTAACGTTAAAAGAGCATTTTATTCTAATGAAAAACTATTGGCACAAAACCATTATATTATAGATTAAAAGAACAGTTAATAGTAGTGAAAAAGATTGCCTAAAACGCATACCCTAACCTACCACAGAAATATAAAAGTTTATATTCTGAAAATATATACTGTATTAAAGTTTGTAAGCTTATTCATTTAAACAGAAATGTACTGAAATAGTAAACTAAGCAACACTTATCTACAGCAAAAATATACATGCAGGACAACACAAAATAAATTGCTTACCTTTAATATCTACAAATGCAAAACTGTAGATTTTTAAAGATTGTACAAAACAATTTACACAAGAATAAAATAACATACTTAACAACAAATTGCATTTATCATCTTAAATACTGTGAATATTAGTAAAGGTACCCAGACTAATATGTACAGTACATCTAGATATCTGAATACCTAGTAAGGACAGAAACACAAGAGAAAATTGATTCTGATCTTTAAATACTGGAAAAGAAGCTTTTGACATTGTTATTACTCTTTATTGAAGGGAAAATAGATTCCATGAAAACTAGATTGTAACTGTATAGATATGAATAATTAAAAATGTTAACTATGGTTAGCGCTTGCTTTAATGGAAAAATAATTATAGAAAATGTATTTCAACCATTCCTTTGTCATAAAAAATGCTAAGATACAGATATCTGAAAATTCAGATGAAATGATGCAGTTTAAAGGTCTAGCAACTTACCATTCTTCTCTGTTTGAAAATCTCATATGGAAAGCATACCTTCACATTGCTGAGCAATTTTTCTATATTTATCTACAAAACCCAAGCATAGTATTGAAATAAACTTCCTAATATCTTATTAACACATGACTAGGAGTTATGGCTCTCTGGACGGGAAGAAAGGAAAAAAAGGAAATTGAGGAATCATGGTACTTTCCATTGCTTTTTTTTCTTTTTTTTTTCTTTTTTTTTTTTTTTTTTTTTCTTTTTTTTTTTTTTTTTTTTTCTTTTTTTTTTTTTTTTTTTTTCTTTTTTTTTTTTTTTTTTTTTCTTTTTTTTTTTTTTTTCTCTTCTGAAGTCATATGCTGGAGGCCTGATTGTGCAAACACGTATGCATGAGAGTGGTTTTCACTTCAGTAATCTCTCCCGTTGTAATGGGACTGCCGTGCAGGTGACTCACGTGCGCACACTGGCATAGCAGGGGCTCCTGCGGCCTCGACCCAACCAAAGTCTCTGCGCATGCGCTCTGTGGCGTTGCTGGCAGGTTTTGGAAATAAGCAAATGTTAGTAGAAAACAAGTGGTGCATCTATCGCTTCGATTGGTTATGGAAACAGTTCTGTTTCAGAGATGTAAAAAGAAGTTGTTTTCCTAAGTTTTTCTGAAAGCATTTAAAACAGGCTAATTAGAAGCCAGATTTTGTCTTTTTAGTGAAGAATTTCCATGAGAACTTCTGCCTTTAGGCTAATGATTTCTTTACAATTCAGTGGTACAATTAGGCCATAGAAACAGGACTTTTAATTATTTTTGGACAAAGAAATGTTATATTAATGTGTTGAAGGCTACCGTTTGCTATAATCAACTGTTCGTTAACTTTACAAAGGCTTTGTTGAAACTCTTCATGGAAATACGGGGAGGGAAAATAGCTAGCAGCCTCATTTGCAGAGGTTTAAACCACAACCAAGTCACTGAGCTCAAGGATGGAGAGCAAGTGCACAAATTACAAAGCAAACGAATGTGCAAAGCTTCTGCTTCAAGAGGTTTTAATTCGGGCATACTAAAATGGCAGGTGAAGTCACAGAGCATGCTTGTGTTATTTCCATATTAATTGCCTTACTAGCAAGGAAGAAATGGGAGCGATCCAGTGTTCACAAGTCAGTCAGTGTCACTGAAAAGTACTGGGATCACATTCTAAACTAGCAGATTGGAGTTTTGTCATTTATTGTGGACTGCTTTTATGGATAGCCATTAAGTTCTTGTACCAGGTGGTGGGGTGGCCAGATGTGGAGAGCTGGGAATAGCAAAACAAAATCTCCCCCTCCACTTAGTTCAATACCTAGCACCTTGTATAAACTGTTGGCCCACACCCAAAGGCCTCCAGAGCAGAAATTATCTCACACCTGAGGAATCAGGCAACTAGACTAAGGCTCATAAGGATTTGCTTTTAGACTTCAGACCAAAAGGGGATGTTTAAACCTGAAAAACAGTACGATGCCACATAACGGCACCACTCACCCTGTTACTGACATCCGGCTAACAGGAATATAGTAAACTTAAATAAAGCATCTTGTTGGCGAGCCCTTCAATGCTCCTCAAGAAGGCAGAAAGTGAAGAGAGACTTAGGGGGGACTCGCTATTTCAGAATCCACTTTTTTCCCTTAATCCAGGCAAATGAATCTATTATTTCAGACATTTTCTGTACGATTTTGCACATAGAGGAGCATGCACGTGGCTGTTTCTTTTACTGCCCACAGCGTTATGTGTGTTTTCTATATATTCTTTATCTTTCTACACAATTTGCTGCTAAAAATGTGTCTGCATTCTCATGTGATGCCATTAATTCAGTCAAGGGATGTATGAAAATAAGATCTGTGATCAATAAACAGCTGAATATGAACACAAAATAAATAAGTTAAATAAATTCAACAAAGAAAAAAATCCTAGTAGTTTTTGCAAAACTAACTTTACATATTATACATATAAATTATCAGATTTTTCCATTACACTGTTAGAACTTAGAAAAAAATAATTAAAATATATCTAAAGTATGGAGTTTGGGTCTACAAAATATCGTGCTGACCCAGTTCTTAGGTTGAGCCCTCTATGTCAGCCCAGATGTGTTGCAACAGCAAGAATAAGTTAAGAAGGACAGACAAAATAAACCATTACAGATGGTGTGCCTTATTGGGCCTCAGTGGTGCTTCTCAGCACATGGAATGTATACTTTTATCTGGATGAGCACGTGAAAGATGCAGCCCTCTGTAGAGATTATGTGCACGGAACAAGCCTGCCTACGTCTCGGTTACACAAAATCAAACCAGCTACAAGCAGCTGTGTAGCTCACAAGGAAATCGACACAACCATATGTATTAGGGTACACTGTCACAAATTCCTCAATGATGCATTGCCTCTGCTTTTCAAACACAGGTAATGTTTGACTCTGTTCACAAGCGGAGCATTTTCTCTTCGAGTTAGGCCAAGACATCAGACTTCGTAGATTTTGTCTTGCAAGTAGCTGAATAATGAATCCAGTCCTTTGGAAGAACTCCACAGCTGTTTTAACATCTGACACTCTTTCTCATTCACATCTTCAAGTCCGGATTTCAGGAAGCTCCTCACGAGACATTTGGACTCTTCCAATACCTAAAGCCAAAACATCTCTCAGCATTTTATTTTGAATCTGACAAAATTATTATGGATAATGGCGTGAACAGCATTTTTACACTACTAACTCTGTTTTACAATCTAAGTAACTCCTTTGGGCACAGAAATTAGATGTGATTTACAGCCCTAACTCCACTTGCTGATAGTCAGCATCTTTAAGAATTAAGGACTTCTGAGGTTTATGCCTTAGTGCCGACATTTTTAAAAGGAATGAGGGATTCTGAAGTAGCTTAGTTTATTGAAGGTCTGCCATGAAGCACTAGAAGGAGCTGAACTCCCTCCTGTTGAAAACATGATCCCTTGAAATGAAAATGAGTGAGGCGTGATATACTGGCTACTTGTTTTCTCAAAGGTAATCTTTAAGGTTGTAGAGGTTGGAAACCCAAGTTTGGATGTCCATCATCTTTAGCAATTTTCCCTTCATGCGTCATTTCCTTATCAAAACAGAAATGAAAAGGAAGGGGCCTTACTGCACCTATTTTTTAAAGTTTATTTACTGACATTTTTATAAAAGCGAAATATTTTATAAAAGAAGGGTGTTAAGCAAAACAAGCACCCTCTGTGTTCTGGAGTTAGATTTGCTTACCATATACAAGCAGTCATAAAAAACCACCTAAGGTTTTTACAATGGAAAGCCCAATCTCAAGCCTTTAGTAATCGCTCTAAGTTCTTAAAGGCAAGAACAGCAGGTCCATGGTTGCTCCTATAGTTCCTCTCTTTTTTTTCCTAGGCCCATTTTTAGACATATTGAGATTGCCGCCTTCAAAATTCTTTTTGAAATGTATAACACCAGTATGTATCTCACAAGGAACCCAACTAGTCAAACAAAACATTAATAATTCATAGATTAGTGATTTTGGGGGGCAGAAGACAATGATGTAAACTAATGAAGTTTTTATGATAAGGGAGATGTATGCCCTCCGCTCAGCTTTGTCAACACCTGCGTGTTAAGCCCGGTTGCTCTCTGTTTTAGGTTGCAACACTGCTATTCCAAAATAGCATTTCTCTTTAACTCAACTTAATGGTGTTAATTACAAATCATTGGGCCTGTGTATTTTTTTTTGGTCTGTGAACAAGTATCCACTGTGAACTTGTATGAGCTCATCATATTCATTATTTTTGTGACTTCAGCCTGATCTGCATTTAGGATCTCAGAGAGCAATTTTAACTCTCATCTTTGTCCACAAGTTAGCACCAGTCTTCCTAACAGATCTCAAGACAAAATTTCACTGGCAGCCAGTAACAGTGAGGGAAAGAAGAATTCACAGTAAGGTCCAGAGGTTTTCCGAACTCATATAATACATGTTATATCAGCATGATCAAATACGCTTATGCTACATTTCCAGAGAGTTTCATTCTGAATGCCTTTCATGAGATCTAATCTACACTTCATTTAATTAAAAATCTCCTGTGTCTCTGCCTTCTCTTTTACAACGGCTCTTTTAAATGAAACTGAGGGATGCTAAGACAGTTTCAGGCATAGGAAGTATAGCAAGAAACTGCAACAATTTGCACTTTATTTAGTGCAGTTTTATTGCAGCCAGTATCACTTTCTTCACTGCATTTTTTTTTAAACAAAGATGTGCCCAGAATAGGAGTATATCTGCCTGAAGGGAAAAAACCTTAGGAGGTAAAAATAGGAAAGGATTTTCTTTCAACTTTTATGTACATAAAAGGAAAGTTATAATACACTGTGACCAGACTGTGTTCAAATCCCTCTGTGTCTGGATCTCACCTCTCCTTCACAGCAGAGGTTAGCTTGGCAGTATCCTACCCTTCTGGTGCACTGTGTAGAACATTTTGCAGAATCAGGAACTATGCAGGTGCAGAAAAGAAGGCAGAGTCAGCTGAAACATAGTAGGCCAGGACAACGTGAAAGGCAAATATATTTTCTTACTGGCCCTACAGAGACTTCCCAGTACAGTTGCACAGTTTCAGACTCTTCCACCTTCATGAAGGAAACCTATGCTAAAATCCCTTTTCAAAATCTGGGGCAAGGAGGTTCCACTCATACTGAATGAAAGTGAAGATGGGGAAAGCAAACAACCCTCCCTGCCACTGAAAAGTGGGAAACTCCACAAGTTCGCTGATCCCAATCCAGATTTTCTGTTGTTAGCTCTCTTTCACAGGTATGGTGGTGGAAACGGAGGACCCACTATGTGGTGAGCCCTGGGAGCACACCTTGCCTCTGTGAAATGTAATTTTAGCACAAAGGAGTTTGATTTCTTACCACTGCGCTGCAGGATGCCATTTCCTTCACTCGTAGCATCACTTCTTGGCTAAATGTTGTTGGCCAAAATACTTGTGACACTAATCCTCTGCTGCAGGCTTCCTGTGCTGTCAGTTTTCTCCCACAGAACAACATTTCATTTGCCTGTGAAACCAAAAGTTTACTTGTGATCTTGGGTTATGATTGCCTTAAAAATTTTTCCATACTTGCCTGCTGCTTTCAAGATTAAATTTACAAACGGTCTCCTGTATCTTTCCATACTGCAAAATACTTAAAACGGAGTTTCGGTAGCTATTTAAAGATTGTGCAGGTGGCCAGAGCACAGCATGGGTTTCATTTAAGAGAAATGCGCTGGCATGCATGATCAATCTGCGTTGCTGATTTTACAAGAGTAACTGTCAGTGATACAGTGATACTGTGCCAAGAGTCATGGAACCTAGTATGAAATACTTTGTGGGGTAAATTCTGCTTTGTTATACTGGTAAAAACTAAGCAACCTTACTGGAAATCGTACAGGTTGGGTTTAGAGAGCAGTATCTTGCTCTGTTACTGCACAGTCCTAACACAATACAGACAGGTACTCTGCAACATTATTCTGATAGTGTGTTTCTTCCCTTTTCTACCATGATCTTAACAATCTTTGGTTTTTCAACCTGTGTTCAATCTTTCTTGTGTACAGCATGGGTAATATAGTGAATTCTGAGGTCATTTTGTGACAAGAAATGGGTAGGGATTAGATGAACTTTCCACAGATTTCATTTCCATTCAGGACAATTAAGAGAAACAGTTGTTTTCTAGTTTACTTTTTAAAGAGAGAAAGAAGAGCATGTATTTAAGACAGGTTCTTCAGCAATTTGAGGTGGAAAACCTTACCAGTGCAACACCCAGAATTTGTGGGAATGTGTATGATGAGCAGCCAGCTGGAGTGAGTCGGATTGTTGCATATGGTGTCTGAAACCATGCCTTCTCACTTGCCCAAACGATATCACATAGTGGTAAAATAGAAGCTCCTAACCCAAGAGCAGGGCCGTTGATAGCAACCACAATTGGCTTCTTAAATTGAATAAAAGCTTTTACAAAATCCCTAAAATAAAAAATAAGAGAAAGATCTTGAATACAGAAGTAACACTTAGATAAACACCCAAGCTTAAAGTACTTAATCTGAAAACAAATTAGAACCACAGGTGAACACAATAAATGCCATGGACCAGTTTTATGAGGTCAGAATTGCAAGATACTTTTTAGTTTGCACATGGAAAATTTTGCTCATAGTTATTTAATCTGTCTGAGTACCTGGGATATTAAATAGTTTTGTATACGTTGTATGTGAACTGATGAATTGGAATGCTCTGACTGTTGTACTTTATGCAGAGTGCTTTGGTTAGGTTTAGTTTTACTTCTGGACCAGTAACTCATGAGTTTGTACACATTGTGCTTCTCTGTTTGCTCCACAATGGCTAGTATGGATGCTGATGATCTGGTTTGGCTAACCTGATGAACACATTATAGTGTAAAAGACAGCAAACTCACAGGTGGATTGCTGAATATTTATTTTTTTCAAAAAGTTGTCTTAAGATCCTATGTCAAAGGTTACTGCAAGTCCCAACAATGGACTGGAAGATAGTAAATGTTTATGGCACACCAGCAGAAAGAGCAAGACCCACAAAGGGGAGTCAGAGAAACAGAGAAATGTTTGAACAGGGGAAGAATTAGGTGAGAGATCTGTTGGGTCTTCATTGCAAATGTCTTCGGCAAAGACATAACAAAGTAGATGCCCTTGCCTGACTACAACAGTAAAAGTGAAGTGATGGGAAATAATGGAGAATTGGATTCATTGGATTCATCTGGATGAATGAACTAGAACATGTTAAATTCTGTGCAATGAGGAGATATTTTAAGTAAGTTACCTACCAGCAACTGTGGAAAGACATCTGTTGAATGGAACGGCCTGTACACCAATTAGGAAAAAGCATGAGTGTAATTGTGGGCAAATTATGGGCTCCAGCAGCTCAGTGCACAGCAGGTATATGGAGGCAAACGATATGCTCAATTACTTGAGAAAAGAGACATGTATAAATCAAATTCAAAACAGAAGAGGGAGATTCTGTTGCTGCACTGGGTATTTATTAGATCCAGAGTGCATCTTTGCTGACAGATTTTAGGAAAGAACACTTTGTCGAATGTGCCCTTTGATGAGTTGCAGCTCTCCCACTGAGGTCAAAAAGACCTAGACTTCTGTACCTGCGAACAGGAGATGTGCCTTGCAGGTTAGAGTGCTGATTTGACAAAAACCGGAAAATACACTGAAGATCAGTATTTTATTGGACTGAAGTGCAAGGGCATCGGCTATATTTTAAATGAAAATTAAGAGTCTGAGGTGACCCAGCATTAAATGTTCAATGAATGAGTTCTGTTTTTTCAGGCTATCTAGTAAGGAGTTGATTTTTGACCCTGGGAACATAGAGAATCGTGGGAATTGATGCAGTTCTGTTCACACAGTGAGTAATAAAAGAGAAGATCAGTGGCAAGATGAAGAGAGTGAAATAAGGAACATCACATTTGTCTGTTCAAGACCATTTCTTTCTAGAGGAAAGCAGGGTTAAGGAGAGTTGTGGTTCATTTTTGATTGCAGAAGCAATGCTATTCCCTTATCTCATTATTTCTTCGGTTGTTTATGGTTGAGTAATGACTGTGGATCACTGCACCTGATTAATTCCAGAACCTTAGTAGTTAAGCAAGTAAGCCTTCCAAGCAGGACTACAGATGGGAACAGGGATGTGACAAATGATAGGTAAAAAGAACAAACTATGGATAAATGGTGGCAGCAGATCTGAGGACCATGTGGAGGCAGAAGAAAAGAGTGTTGTGGAGAAAAGCAGGAAGCATGTGGTGATAAATGTGACTGGAAGTGAATAGGGAAAAGCAATTAGGGATATGAAGAGGAAATGGTTACATGATGGGGAGGAAGAACAAAGCAGAACACATTAATGGAGGGTAAGGGCTGAAGGAAATGTGAAATCTTCACGTGAGTGTGCAAGGAAGGGAGAACCTGGAGATGGGGAGAAACTGGAACAGAACATTGAGAAGACGTGATGAGCCTCTGTCAAGAGGGAAGGATGGGGAGCATAGAGGATGGTACAATTGATGGGTATGGAACATGCCACCTATGGGATGAAGTGGAAGGCTACAGTATTGGGAGCTTACAAGGGGGATAAAAGCCTTCATTTGGTCTACAGAAGTTGCAGTGTCCAGCACTCCACTTCTCTGTGTTCCCTGTTTGGTACGTTATTTGTTTCAGTGAGTCGTCTTTGTACCCAGAACCTGGCATGTTCCTATGTCTCTGAACCATAAGTTCACACATGTACTTTCTGGGCTAGAAGATTCTTGTTTCAATTTAAGGCAGTCTTTGAAATGGAACTAAAATTGTAATTGTTATCGCGCAGTAGAGCCACAAGCTCAAAGATAGGGAAAAGTGTCACGTGCTAGAGGATATCTGGGAAGTTGACCATCAAATACACTTTGGGATGCTCAGATACCTCTGCGTCGTTGCAGAGGTCTTGCTGCAGGTCAGGGCTCCTAGGTACGTCAAAGGCTACAAAGAGGTTGAACAAGTTAAGTCATCCTTTTTTTCCTTCTGAGCACACCCAGAATTTTATGTATCAGGTCACATAATGATGCCCGACTGATGCTGGGGGACTGGTGCTGGGAATGCCTTCCAACAAGTCGTTCAGTTGCAGGGCTCTGTAGGCCACATAGGCACAGCTGCAGTGCAGTCTGTCTGTCTGCCTTTTCCCTGCTCCAGGAGTGCAATGCCGGACACACGCCTGTGAGTTGCAAGCCCCGAAGGCAGTGGATGAGGACAGGGGCCAAACGAATAAATCTTTCATGTGAGATGAGACTTGATGGGTATTTAAGCTCCCGTTTTAACTTGGGATCAGTATATGAAAGAAAGTGGAAACACATGGTAATCAAGATTTTAATTTCATTTTGATACAAGTCTAACTTGATGTAAAGCAGTGGAGGCGGAGATCCGTTAATGTGTTTTAGGACATCCTAACCACTGAAAAAGCAAAGTGTACATTTTTTTCTACTCTTATTACAGTATATTTTCCATGAGTTGAGTCCTTTGTTCACAGAAAGCACAGAGAGTGCTAAATGGAAAACGTAGTGTATTGTTTCCAGAAGTACAATAAAAATCTATTTCCAGTGGGCCTGAAGCAGACATTCTTGACAAGGAGCAGTACATTGTACCAGTGTTTCAAGAGTGTTCTGTGAGGCCAAGGATGGAAAAACTGAGTGTCATAGTCTGGCTAATACTCATTTGAGTGTTGAATTGGTAAGTATACCTGTGTATTAAATGTGTGTAGATAAATGTGTACATATATAACAATACCTATCTACAGAATATTTACAGGAATAATATTAAATTTGTATCTTCTAATAGAGTGTGAGTGTGCTTGTGCTTTTAAACAAGAATAGCGATTTTCTTCCCTTGCCTTTTTTTTGGTTCCACATTATTAAAAATCCCTCACATTAAAAAAAAGAAATAAGGATGTGTCCTTCAAAGAGTTTTTCTTTTTTTAAATATCGCTACATGATACTCAAGCATAGCTAGCGTCTTAAAAACGTCATAAATTATTATATTAAAGAAGTACATTTTAAATTCTTTCAGAATAATTACTACTTCGAGAATTTCAAAAGTATTAAACTGAGGATCCAAACTGATCTGCAGTAGTTGTAACCAAGATAATTGGTGGTTAATACATGTCATGTAATAACTAAACCTGATCTTATGTTATACTAATATATCCAAAATACAGAGCTGTTGTAAACCAAATTCTTTAATATTCCTTCATAGAATTATTGCAAAAAGTTTCAAAGCTCTCAGAAGAATAATATTTATTTGTAGGAAGTGGGGGGCAAAAAAGGGACCAAACCCTCTCCTGGTACAGACTGGTGAAATACCATTGGCTTTAGTGGAGTAATGTTGATTTAGACTAGAAGATCTGCCAAGTATGTATAAAGTACACCTTGTGGATAATGAAAATATTTGGTGATGTATTGTGCAGATTGATTTGTAGACTGCATGTCATAAACCCTGGATTTCTATTAAGGTAATGTGATATATATATGGAAAGTCACATTTTAGTTATGAAAATAAAACTACATTTACATATATATTAAGTAATTTAAGTTTAAGAAAGAGAGTGGAGACCCTTCTAATAAGGTTCTGAAATACAGTGGCAGACTGCTATTTCAACAGAATATGAGTAAGCCATGGATTGCCATTTGTACTGAAATTCATTAAAATGATGAACAGTAACACAAGTAAAATATCTGTCTTTCAGGAACCACTTTAGAACATGAAGCAATAGCTAATTTGGAAAAACAACAACAAAGTTGTATGTGAATTTGGAGGAATGATTTGAAATATTAAATACAGAGAATTGGAATAAAAAAATCCCTATGGATATTAGCACCGGAGTAAATGTGCTTTCTTTTCTAATAAGGAAAGGTCCAAGGTTCTTCTTACTAAACAAATTTGTAGGACTATAATTAGAATGCAATCAACACTTAAATATACAACATTTTTGGACCTGAAAAATATCTTTAAAATCACACACTGCATTTCATAATTTAGAGATCATAGGTAAGCTTGGGTCACCTTATAGCTTCTGCAATCCTAGTGCTTTCCTTTCTTCTGTCATTGGATAACCTGCCAATTAAATATGAGTAATCTAGGCCACTACAGAATACACTTCCCACTGCGCTGAGAAGTAAGAGTTTACTGTCATCAGCTGATGCATTGCACAATGCTCTCCGAACTTCCTTCATGATCTGTGGATAAAGAAAAGTAAACAATTCGACATGCATGCCGTTGCAATATCATTTCCCTAGTTTTACAAACCTTATTGATTTTGAGAGACTTAAATTTTGGGCACTATTAATACTTACATCAATTATATATATTTATATAATTTTAATATACCTTGAATGATAACACTGAGAGTTTACAAAATATTTTATATTTGGAAGTGCTTTGTTGATGCTTACTAATTCAAAGAGTTTTTTAGGACTTGGCTGTTCTTTTCTTATTCTATGGGAAATTCTAGCCAGCTTATGCTATTTGATCGCAATTCAAAAATTTCAAATATCACTTTTTTGTTTTCATCGTGTATATTCAGTGTACATCACTGTATCCTCAGTAACACGGTTAGCACAACAATAGCCTATTAACCTCAACATGTTGTAAGCAAAATCTGTAAACCCCAGTTTTAAGTTCTTCAACTACTTTGGTTTATATGACTTCAACCAGAGCAAAGCAGGACAAGAGGACACTGTATACATCAACATGACAAATATATTATTCATTTTTCTGTGGTCAGTGAAAGTCTACAAAAGTTAGAGCAAAAAAGCCACTTGAAAGAGAGACATTTTGACTCTGATTTACAACTGGATCAAGCTATTAATTGCACCATAAATCAAACCTAACCAAAATCTCTGTAGAATTAGGCTGCTGGTATTGGAAGAAAATGGCCTTTCATCTGAGCAGAGAATTGTTTTTCTAGTGATTTTTAAAAGGAATTATTATTTCATAAATTTCTGATGGGTAACTTCTTGTTTGGTCACAATTCAACGTGCTTTGTAAGCTGTAATTGATTTCACCCATTTCAGCTTCCCTTCTCTTTAGTGACTTGCTCCTCATTTCGAGGGTGATGGTTTCATCTAGCCTGACACCTCCTACGCTTAAACATACCCACGTGTCAAAGTACTTCCTATAGACAGGGTCCTGTTGAGTCACATTTTTCTCTTATGTATTTGAAAGATTTGCTGTTAGCGTAAATTTAGGTATAAGACAGCAAAATGTGGTTGGGGGATTAAATATGGTTTCCATGTGACAGAAACCCAAGATTTTTGAGCTTGTGTTTATTTTTGTTCACTACTTTCTGTTTCCAAAAATTCTTTAGATCTCTGAAGTGCCTTATTTAAGAAATGCCTCTAAACACAGAACAGAAGATCTGTTTATATCATTCTAGGTAGACTTTTATTAGAAATCCTGACGCTTGTGAGACCAAGCTTGCACTTGTATATTCAAACCATGCAGTGTGATGCTACCTGCCTGCTTTCCATATGTGTTTGCATAAAAATGATTGTTATGGGCTGCTGAGACCGGGACATGAGAAAGCAGGTGGTGAACTTTCAGATGTTTCACTTTTACCAGTGCACTTCAGAACGCCTCTAATACGGAGTAGGTGACAGTGGGTGGCAGTGAAGTAATTAAAAGCAGCAGAATTTGGAAGTGTATTTGAAATTCTTGTGCAGGTACGAAAATGTTATCAGCGATATTACAAGTACTGTTTATTCTCAGAGTCCCAGAGGCTGTCTCAGCCCTCAGTTGGTAAAAGCGTAGCAAAACCACACGTTTTGTAAACAAAGACATAAAACCCCTAAAACCTCTGTTCAAAGTTAAAAAAGAAACCTCAGAAGGTGGTATATGTTGGAATAAAAAAAATATATGTATTTTGATTTTCCCACTTCCATGTGAATGCAAGATTGTCCTCTTAGTTGAGTTTAAATGTTCTCAAAATCTGCTTTCTTAGGGAGGATGTATAAAGAGTATCAGAGAATCCCAGTTAAACATTTCTATATACAATGAGGAGTGTTGCTTTAAAGGTGATGCCACGATATGATACTCCATTCAGCAAGTTTCTTTACTGTTCCCCTCCCTCCAGTGACATTTGCATATGTACCATCTCTCTGATGTTACCGCTGCTACCCTTCAAACACATTACCATTACAAACCTCTTTTTTATCTTACCCCTCATTGATTTGGATGGCTAAAGCCACCTAAAATTATACTAAACTTTTGAGCAGAGGTTATACGGTTATACTACTTGTAGGAAAAAGCAATATTGTGCTATCACTGTTTTTTCAATGTTTTGGAGAGAGTGATATTAAAGGTCTGTTATTAGGAATTGATTTCTCAGATATAGCTGAAAATGGGAAGGCTTTGACAGCATTTTGGACAGTATTTTTGAGCAGGATTAGAAATTTAGTTCCACTGCTCCACTAGTTTCTAGCAAAAGAAAACACTATCAGAAACCAGGAAACCATAACATATCAGTGTTTTCAGTCTCCAAAAAGTATTTTTTTTTTTTAAATATCTGTAAGTTTGTCATTAACTTTATCATTGAAAGGTGCTTGGAGGCTCACTGGAATACACCAATATATTGGTGTCAATTCTCACTCCCTTGTTTCATGCCATGATTGCTTTCCTGGTGCCGTCCAAAATTCACCTGGTCACCTTGTCACACACCCTTGCTGTAGCCGACCTGCTGCCCGCTGTTGCTTCCAAATGCCTTGGCATCATGGGTTTCCTCGTTGATTATCTGGGTATGGGTATTTCTCTACAGATGTTTATATCATTATAGGAAAGCTACTAACAATAAAATACAGATAAAAAAGATGGTTTGTAGGCTTACAGGACTGTCTATTAAACTGCAGTACTGTGAAGTAAATATAATCTTAGTTCAGAACTGCTGTCTGGTTTTAAGTACAAATTTCCACGTAATGCAGTAGTGGATTCAGTTTGCAAATATAGAGATACTACGTGTCTCCAGTTACATTTCTTTGTCAGATTCCATATTCTTTTTCTCCCTTCCATGGTCTTTAAACCTTCCCTCATTTTGGTATAACTATGGCATTTATCCAATTAAATTTTACTTTCTCTAGTGGACCAGATCTAATATTACTATTTGCAGGGCTCCATAGCAGTATTCTCCAGTTCCATGCTTTTTTTAATTAGCTTTTTTTATGGTCTTTTAGTTAATTTCCAGTTGTGGGGACAATATTTTTATTTGCACGCATTTGACTAAAATTTCTGAGGAAGTATTTATAAAACAGCATGAGCCAGTTCTTTTGCTTATGAAAATCTATTGGATTATAAATTTAGACCAGGCTCCACTAACTATTTTATTGAAACCCAAATATATAATAAAATTATCGCTTTCTCAGAAGTTGCTTATTTTTTTAATCCTGTCAAGAAAATAAGTTGGTTAGTTCTTTAATAGGACACCTTATATTGCAAAATAAATATAAAATGTTTAAAAACTTCACTGCACTTCTTAGAAGCTTATTTTAATGCCTGTCACTGAATGTAGGAACTTTTAAAAGGCATTTGGTGCCCTTTGCTTTCAATACTGCTTCCATTCTGGGGAAATCAGGAAGCTGGGAATTTATCACTGTAATTATACAAAGTATCTTGAACAGAAGTCTCTTGTTCATATAAACAGAAATACTAGTTTAAAATGTTAACTTCTCCGAATCTCTAAGGATTCACTGTTGATATTCTTAAAGGTAAATATTCTGTAAATATTACAGTAACCCAAAATTTTAAAGTCATTCAGTTGTTCTTAGAACCTCTCCCACAATCGTACCTTTTTACATAAATACACTTTTTGTTACTTACTGACTCTGTGCAAACAGATTCCGAGTCCTTTCTGTTTAATAAATAAAGGACTTAGGAACCTATAAGGCTGGCTTCAGGCAGAAGTACTGGCTGAAAAAACAATTTGTCTTTGTATGAGAGCAAAAATACAGATAACAGTAAACTTGTACCTGCCTGGTTTTTTTGGTTTTTTTTTTTCTTAAATCAGCAAAAGTTGTAAGTAAGGAAACGTGAAGGCAAACCAGTGCTCCAAAATTCACCTGGTAGAACTTCAAACCCTGTAATTCTCATGGCTATGAATTTGAAACCTGATTGTTTTGTATGAGAAGTGTATTTGAGGTAGTTACATCAGTCTTCAATGAAAACATTAGTTCTTTAGGGTATGCGTTGCTTTTAATGCAGGGGAATATTAATTCCTAGCTCTATTAATAGTGTAAAGTAAAACCAGTGAAGGGATCCATTTAATCTTCAGTCTGAAACAGAATTTGGATCCTTGAAATGTGCTGAGTTAAAACAGCAACATCATCATTGGAGAAAGAACTTCAGAAGCAGCAAAAGACCCCTGAGAGAAAATGCCCTAATGGAATTTATAATGATGAAATATTTTACATACCTATTTTAAAAATTAATTTAAAAAGTAGCAAGCCTAAGTCCCTGAAATAAAAACAAGCTGTGCTGTTTCATGACACTGGCTTGGAAGTTTTATAAGGTCTTGTAAAACATAAGAAAGAATTTCTGTAGTGCCCTGAACATTTTGTAGAAAAAAACTCAATTACTAAAGTGGCACTGAGCCAACTTCAATCAGCGCAAATGCTGCTGGAAGGAGCATCGGCACATTTCATTCTAAAATCACCTGTGCAAACCCACAGGTGTGATGTGGTCACCAAAAACATAGGGTGAAGATTCAGGCAGACTCCTCTAAACTTTACTTTTTCTTATTTATTTATTTATATTTTTTTTAAATAAATGAGTTCTTCATTATTTTAATTAAATTGGCATAAGTAGCAGAGGCCAGTGGTTGAACAAAACTATTAAATTTCATCTGAAGATAAAGCACAAAGGGAAGCAGGGTTGTTTTGGGGTGAGAATGGTTTTGTATAAGCTTAATTTTATAATGACTGTGGGCAGTGCACACCTTTTCTTTCTTCCTAACATAGAAGGCCAAGAATAACCAGAGCACTATTCTAACCGCACCAAGTAGACCTGCTCTGAGTAAATTAATCATTTACTATTTGGCAAACATAATTTACTGAATGTCTAATAAAGCTTGAAGTTAGTGTTTCTTTTGACAAAATGAAACATACTTTCTTCATTTTGTAGGAATTTTGTGTTTGTACTTTTTATTCACTAGTGATAAAAGATGTCAAAACTGAAAGCCTTGTAAATGCACCTAAAACACTTTGTCAGTTTGTCTCAGCTATGGCTACAGGTGACAAACTGTAGGGACGAGGCATTCAACACATTCCTCCTTTCAGTTCCTTGGATTTTTGTTGTAATTGCCAGCAGGGATGTGGAATTGCCAATATTGGAGGTGCTGGATTTTGTGGTGTGAATGATCGTGGGCTGCAGCCTGGACCGAGGCCAAAGAAGTCGTTTCATGTTTGCCAGCAAGCAGCCTTCAGAGAGCAAGAGTTTTCAATTGCTCTCAGCCTGGATGAGTTTTAAACAGACAATCTCAATGTGGAGACCTCATTACCTTGATTAATTCCTGACCATCCAGATCCTGGTCAGTAAAGTAGTTTTCTAAAATGTTTTCCTGGTTTTTGAGAGGGCTTCAATAAAGGTTCTGTAGTCTATGCCGGTGATGCAAGAAGAGGACTACGATTACATGCTTATCATTTATTCTTCCACAGAGGTGGGTTCCCGGCATATTGAAAATTTTCAAAGAATGAAATGGATTGGTTCGGCAGACCTGAAGAGCCTGAATTAATTCACTGGTTAGAGCATTTGAACACTGCCGATGTGGAACGGCACAGCCAGCAACGTAAAGGTATGTCTGTTCAGCCTGAACACAGCAAATCCTTCATTTCATACTTTTTTAGGCCCTTGAGCTCTTCGTTTAAATTACCTGCAGTGTCAATTAGTGGTAATTAATACATGGATGGAACGATGGATTTGATGCAATCTAATGCATTTTAAGGAATTAGTATTAAAAGCAGGTGTTTGGTGTTCTGTGTTAATTACCAAGATAGTCCTTTTAAATATCACACAGTTTAAAAACTGGGAGTGATAAATGTATGTACCAGCAGTTTTAACTATTTATCATCATTCTGTGTTGTAATATCCATGCGTGGGTGTGCATTTGGGAAGGGGAGTCAAATTTAGAGCCCATCATCCCTGCCAGTGGTTTTATCTGAAGCTCGTAAGTAATTATTTTCAAAGTTATTTGGTTTTGTGTTGAATAAAGTAATTCCTCAAAGCTACCATCTACTTTTCCCTCAAATGGTACCCAAGCTGCTATTTCATAAACTCTTATCTTGAAGTTATTGTATAAATCAGAGTGGCACTGGTGTGTCTGGAGGGTAGCAAAGGTAGGGATCTGCCACACTGCGCGCGGCTCATGGAGGAGCCTTGCTTGCAGAATGCTCCGGCAGGCAAAACTGGTGCTGGGAGGCAGCTCCTGCCGTTTCCTCTCTGATCTAAGGTAACCCCCTTCCATCAGGCCATTACCGCCCATGTGGAACAGGGCTCAAGCGTGTTCTCTGCTCTCCAGGACACGCACCCTGATGGAGGCATTTACGGACACCCCTTTTGTTCTGACATGGGAATACCAGGGCATTGCTGCCCGCTATGCTGGGATCACAGGGAATGGAAGGAAGAGCTTCTTAGGCCTTCCAATGACCAATATACGTATTGGAGTAGTACAAGCTACAAGTCCAAGTGTATAACAACAATTTGGAAAAAGGGAATTCATTAATATCATTTAGATGTTGTACAACTTTATGCAATTCAGCTGAGAATAGAGCCCCTAATTGGTTAAGATTTCATAAATAAGGACTCATAAAGTGATTCAGAGAAAAAGCAATTAGGGATCCAGATATAATTTTAGAATTACTGTTTCAGGATATAGACTGAAATTCCTCTGTATGCAGCAACTGCAGCACTATTTAAATTAATGAGAGAGACCTGATTTCTCCTAAGGATAGTAAATATCAGTAACTTCAACATGTGAACAACTGCTTCACACAACTTCCCTGCTGGAAATACCGATTCTGCCATTCCTTTCTTTACTTCTAATTTTCTGTTTCAGATATGTAAATTAAAAATTAATTTCCATTGCATTCTTTTTGATAGGAATCCCAAGCATGAAAAAGTTAGATATACCTGAACTCTGTATTTCTTCTTTTATGATAATTAATTGGGATAAAAATACATAAAATCCAGTTCAAGTGCAGTGTTTCCAAGATAACCCACACATTAGGATGGCTTTCTTTGGCTTTTATGGCTACATGCTTACCTCTGGGGTCAGTGCATTGTTATCTGAAGTCTGACTTGACAGCAAAATATGGGTGAAACCATCTTCTTTCCGGACTACAATGTCCCTGAACCGGCAGTTACTTTCATTTTGACGCACGCTGTATCTTAGTCTCTTATCGAAGACATAATCTTTCTCCCCATCTAGTTTCCTTTTCACAGTGCTGTGTAGATTCAAGCTTCCATTGGCCAGAGAAGAACCTTTCAGATGGAAAAAATCAAAGCATAATTATGTCTATACCTTCAAAGAAATGGAGTTATACTTTCTATTAGCTTAAACATAGCTCGGTATTTACAATAGCCTCTATGTGCTAAGTTTGATAAATCAAAAAGATGCCTGGCTAGTCAAATGTGGCCTCAAGCCATTCTTACTATTCTGTGTTGCAACATGGAGTACTTTTTGTTCTCTGATCAGACAACCTCTAGATCCAGTGGACTGTAGCATGTAGGACTGGAACTCTTACTGGGATTCAGTTCTGCTTTGAAGATGAAAGCAATTGTATCCTAGTCTTTCATATGAATTTGGGGACATCTCTGAATTCATAGGAAAATTCTAATTCAGCTTTGGAAAAACTTGACATGACAGGTTTAGTCCAAACCTCATTTTTTCTGTTACATTTTCTTCCTTTTATGGTGACCAAAAAGTCATCAGTTTCAAATGACAATCTGAATAGACACTTGTTGCACATCTCTGTGTGACAGGAGGTTAGGGGAGCTCTTACTAAGCTGACACAACCGGCATTCTCTTCCATCTTGCTCGTGCTTAGCGTTAGAAGTAGCAGTTAGCCATCCTCTTTGCTCTGATCCCAAACTTCTGCTCATTACATTTTATACTAACAATAATTATTGACTTTTGACCAACGGATAGTCCAAATATTGGACTTTGTACGTAGAAAATATTAATGCTGATGCCATTTTGGAGGGTATCCAGCACTAGGAGAAAAAGGGAACTATGACGAGAAAGATATAGATCCTCCTTAAAAATAGATGAGAGTAATAGTACGTCAATTTTAAAAGACGGTTTATTCTGACTTACACTGTATATGAACTGTAAACTATTACTTTGCTTATGCTTACAGTTCCTCTTTCAGAGGCAATGTATTACGATTGGTAACAATGCTGAGCCGGAATGTTGAAAATATCTTTTTTTTTTTGTATGCAGTACTCCTTTTCTAATTACAGCTGTTTCACACTAGTGCCATTAAAAGTAAAGCAGAGACAGGTTGTTGAGGAACAGAGATTAAAGTCACTGTTCACTGAAATAGTTTCCAAATCTGCTTTTTGTTTAAATAGACGTGAGCCCACAATACGCCATATTTAAGAAAGGCCAAGAAAGAGCTGAACGAAAACACCTTTGTTTGTTCCGTTCTTTACTCCTGCCAAAGCTGACCTGTTCCAGCTTCTGGTATCAAAGAGCCAGGAATTTTTAAAGGGCAGATGACATGACTAATAGAACATAGATTTAAATGTTGTAGTTTAAATGACCACTATCCAATTAAATATGCTCTGTTGGAATAGAATTAAATGGTGAATTCATAACACGTTACTCTCTAAACCACAATCACTTACCCTCATCTTGGATTAGCTATGTTTCGACTTGATGTTTATGTAGGCAACTGAACTGTCTGGTACCTCTCAGTAGGCAATGGCCTGTGGAATTGTTCACAGTGTGTGACGTGCCTGTATATGCACTGCAGTTAAATGTGATGTTAAAACATATAGAGGGCTTAACAGTATTTAACTGGTACCTCATTTAGCTGCATCATGTAATGTGTGCATGTGTGTACACATAGATCTACACACAGAAATGCATGTTTGTTAAAAAGTCTGCTATTTCAGTCAATCATAAAACTTTTTCATTGTTAAATTAAGAGATACCATCTCAAGTATCACGTATATTATACTGAATAGAGCATTTAACTGGCGCAATACAAACACTGACAAATTATATCAATTTGAAGAAAAAGCATTTGAAGCCAGCAGAATTTAAAATTTGTTTTCTTGACACGAATTATCTACAAGTGTAGAAATTACCATGTGCTTGAATTTTAAAAATTATGAATAATTTCTGAGGGCACGTTTCTTCTTTTTCATAAAGTTTTGCTACTGCATATATTTTGACATTATTCTTACAAACGAAAATCAACTTATGAAATTACTAATGGAAAAATAATAGCATTGGGAATAATATACTGAAACAAACTAATTATTTGACTGAGGCAGACTTTTAAATATTGCATTTTTATCTATTCAATCCGTACTATGTTGCTTGACTCAGCGATAAGCTATACCAAGATGTGAAGAGTTAAATCTCCTCCCAAAATGTAAAGAACTTATAAAATCAGAGGCACAAATGAACATGGAATGGAAGATGTGTCAGACTAACTGTACTGATCATTTACCTAGTGTTGAAGATTATGCCACATCCATTCTAAATAGAGATGGTAAGAGAATGGTAGAAGATTAATTCACACAGATAAGCCAGCTCAACAAAAAGCCTCATAGTAGTAATTTTATTTTATTTTTTTGTTGTATTCTTGAGTAATGTATTCAGTTTGTAAATTAAATATTATATTAGAAACTATAGATCTTATAAAAATATTTTAACTGTCTGCATGCCAGCTGACAGAAATTTAACCAGAGGAAAGAAAGATCTAAATTATTAACTATGAGAGGAACATAAATAGA